GCCTGTGGCGCGGGTGCAGCGGGGGGAGGGAGGGCTGCCATCCCACAGGCAGGGAGGCCTCCGTGCCCCCAGCCACCTGCCCACCATTGCATGGGGCCACGGCCGAGCCAGTGCCACTCCTGCACCCGCGCCGAGGGCACAGAGTGCCGGTGGTGGGTCTGGCTGCGCGCCCCGGCAAGGTGTGTGTGAGGTAGCGGTGCTGCAGCCCGGCCGGGGCAGGGACCCCGAGGAGCAGGCGCTGGTGCGGGAGCTGAGCCGGGCAAGCCGGCTGCCTCTCCTGCAAGGTTGGAGAGCAAAACCCACGGGGGCCTGAGCCCCCCAGCGCCGGTGCCGAGGGCACAGAGTGCCGGTGGTGGGTCTGGCTGCGCGCCCCGGCAAGGTGTGTGTGAGGTAGCGGTGCTGCAGCCCGGCCGGGGCAGGGACCCCGAGGAGCAGGCGCTGGTGCGGGAGCTGAGCCGGGCAAGCCGGCTGCCTCTCCTGCAAGGTTGGAGAGCAAAACCCACGGGGGCCTGAGCCCCCCAGCGCCGGTGCCCCGGGACAGGAGGGGTGTGGGAGCAGCAGCTGGCAGTGCCCCCAGCATCCTGCCCCTCCGGGCTGGGCTGAGCCAGCAGCAAATGCCCTGCTGCCGTGGTCCGGGCTGCAGCCGCCCGCCGGAGCCCCACCGCTGCAGCACGGGGGCAGGAGACCAGAGCCGGTCCCAGGGGCAGCTCGAAGGTGCCCCAGGGTAGTGCTGGCTGCTGAGCTCCCCCGGAGCCCTGCACTCCCCGGCACACAGAGCCAGCGCTCGGCCCTGGCCGGGAGGGTGACGCCTGCTGCCGGCCCAGAGCACCCGGCACATAAACACCACCCCGGGGATTAGGTCAGCTCTGGTCATTGCTTGGAGGAATAAGTGGATCAGTGCAAGGGAAAGGAGGGGGAGGGAGCTCTGCTGAGCAGGGAGCTCGAGGGGGACCTTTTAATTTGGGGGCTTGCGGGGCCAGCAGCAGCCTTGGCACAGGCACGAGGCTGGGCAGCGAGCGCTGGCGCCCGTGACGGGGCGGCTGGGGACACGCGGCGGCAGCCCCGGCCGGCCCCCACGGTCAGCTTGGATGCCCGAGTGTCCTCAAGTCTGTTTATTTTAAGGGATACAAAGTCCTGGGCTGCTGCAGGGTCACAGGAGCGCTCGCCGAGCCTCTCATTAAAGTTTCCCGCGGGTGCCGGAGGGGGGAGGAGGAGGAGGGTGGGTGGCAGCTGCTGGGCACCGTCCCGCCGCCCCGCGCCCGCACACCTTTGGACCTGGCACCCATGCACCAGGAGCCGTCGGTGTGGGCCAGAGCCGCCCCGCAGCCCGACCCCATTGTCCTGCGGTGGCGCGGGCCAGGCGCGGGGACCGCCATCTGCTTGTCGCTGCCGGCAGCTTCTTTGTTCGCCGCCCAGCGCACGCTCGCGCAGGAAGCAGCTCCCCACGTGCTTCGCCCTTTCCCTCTCGCGGAGGCACCTAATGAAATAAAGGATTTACTGCAGCGAGGGGGAGGGAAGGGGAAATGGGCTGAGCAGTTTGAAAATGTCGTGCCTGGCCCCGGGGCTGGGCTCTTTGGCCGCGTGCAGGCAGGACTGGGTGCAGGCAGGGCTGGGCACAGGCAGGGCCGGGCTCCCTGCTGCAGCCGGGCTGTTCTTCGGAGCAGCACAAGGCGGGAGGCCAGCGTGGTGGGAGCTGTGCACGGGCAGGGGGACGGTGCCAGGACCTGGGGGTGTGAATGCAACCGAGGCCGAGCAGGAGCCGGGCTGTGCGCCGGGTGTGCGTGGCACCGCCGTGGCCGGGCCCCTGGGCCGTGGGCTCTGCCTGTTTGGGCGGTGGGGAGCTGCCGTGGGGATGGCTCCGGGGCATGTGGGAACAGGGAAGCAGGAGTGTCCATGTGGGGCGTAGGAGGTCACTTGGGCTTTGAGTGGGGCAGGAGGGATGTCCGTGCAGCCCCTACCCCCTCCCCACAGCAGCGTGCCGAGGAGCCTTGCCGGGCGGCATGCCTGCTGTGAGCAGAGCTCCTAACGCCGCTTCCAGGGTTTTCCCGCCCAAGCGAGCCTGTCCTCGTGTGCCGTCCCCGTGCCCCAGCACTCTGCGGAGCAGCACGTCCCCGAGCCGCCGGCGCTGGAGCTCGTCGCCTTGCACCGCACCCTGCCCCAAACGGGGTCGGGAGGACTGTGCCGGGAGGCGAGGGACCCGGCGGGGAGAGGCAATGCCCCTTTCTCCTCCCTGCAATGCAAACAGGAACTGAAAAGGACCAAATTCCAAAGTTCTTATTCAAGCCCAGGTGCTGCGGCCCCAGGCAGAGGCGTGGGGACTGTCACCTGCTGGAGGGATGGGTGACCCAGGCGCAGGGTACAACAGTGTTGGGCGTGCTTTGAGGGCCGAGGGAGCAGAGCTGTGCGATGGCCCTGGAGCCGCGGGCACCGGTATCTGTCCCTTCAGCTGCTGCATCCCAAGGCCCGAAGCGTGGCTGTGCCGGCCCAGCTCCCGGCGGTGCCCACGGCAGCTCACCCGCCAGGTGAGCCCAGAGCAGCCCCGGCCACGCAGGGGCTTTCGGAGCAGCGGCCCATCCGCGCTGCGCGTGCTGGTGGTCCCGCAGGCGGGCTCGGGGGAGACTGGCACCGTGGAGGGCAGAGCTGCTCGCCCACCTCACGGACGTGGTCCCAGGGCACCACGGGGGTGACCACACGTCCTTCCTTGCAGATGACTCCTCGTCAGAGAGCTGCAGCGGGAATGGCTCCTCCACCCTGAACCCCTCCACCTCCAGCAGCACGCAGGGCGACAGCGCCTTCCCCGAAATGAACGGGAATGGCACCGCGGCCCCCATGGACTTCACCGCCTCCGCTGACGACCAGCCCATCAACCTCTGCGACAAGCTCGCGCCTGCCCATGTCACCCCTTCCTACCAGTCGGACAGCTGCAGCGCCGATGGGCTGCGCAGCAGGGTCAAGTACGCGGTGAAGACCACGGCAGAGGTACGGCCCAGGCTGCAGGCAGCCGCCGCCGGGGCTGGGCGAGGCAGGGCGGCCGTGCGTCCCCGGCCAGGGCTGGTGCGGGGCATGGCACACTGGGAGCAACCGCACGTGAGGCGCCCAAGGCCAGGCAGGGATGCGGCTCCTGCTCCCGCGCCAGGAAAGCACAGGGTGGGTGACGGGGCTGGGAGCCTTTCCCTTGTAGGGAGGGAAGGACGGAGGAGCGCCACGCTCGCCTGCTGCTGCTGCGGCAGAGCAGCTGTGCCTGGCCGCGCTCCAGCCTCGGGGCTGCTGCTCCTCAGCAGAAATCGGCCCAAGTGCCGAGCGAGCAGTTGGCAGAGGGAGGGAGAGAGGGGGGATGGTTTGGGAGAGCCGGGGAGCATCCCCCGTGCCCTGCCTGCCCTCACCTCCGACCAGCTGTGCCACTGCCGCCGTGCAAGGGGAGCGCATTTCCCCAGGGTCAGGCAGAGCCGTGGCCCCCACCGGCCAGAGCCGCGCTGCCTGCACTTTGGGCCATTGCGCGGTCCCTGAGGCCGCCGTGTCCCTCCCCTGCCCTGAGCCGGGGAGCTGGCACTCGGAGGAGCCCATCCGCGGGTTCGTCTCCCTGGGTTGCAGGGGGACATCAGGAGATGGGCCAGAAGCAGTGAGCCAAGGAAAAGGGGCTTTTTTCTGGTGACCATGGGCAGGGGCGGGCCGGCGAGGGCTGCCCATGGTAACCCCCGTCTCCTCTCAGTCCCCTCCGTACAGCTCCGGCAGCTACGACTCCATCAAGACAGAGGTCAGCGGCTGCCCCGAGGACCTGACCGTCGGCAGGGCCCCCACGGCCGATGAAGATGATGATGACCATGATGACCACGAAGACAACGATAAGATAAATGACTCGGAGGGGATGGACCCGGAGAGGCTAAAGGCCTTCAACGTAAGGAGGGCTCTGCGGGGAGGACGAGCCCGCCCGCCTCCGGTCTCAGTGTTCCCACTGTCTGTCTCCTCCTTTGCAGATGTTTGTGCGCCTTTTTGTGGACGAGAACCTGGACCGGATGGTTCCCATCTCCAAGCAGCCCAAGGAGAAGATCCAGGCCATCATCGAGTCCTGCAGCCGGCAGTTCCCTGAGTTCCAGGAGCGGGCGCGCAAGCGCATCCGCACCTACCTCAAGTCCTGCCGCCGTATGAAAAAGAATGGGATGGAGATGGTGAGCAGCCGCCCCGCTGCCCTGCCGCTTGCCACCGCGCCCGGGGCAGCAGGTCCCTGAGCGCCTTCTCTGCTTGTGTCTCCGCAGACCAGGCCCACGCCGCCGCACCTGACCTCGGCCATGGCGGAGAACATCCTGGCTGCTGCCTGCGAGAGCGAAACGCGGAAAGCAGCCAAGAGGATGCGGCTGGAGATCTACCAGACCTCCCAGGTACACTGCTCGCGGCCGGAGGTGGGCGTGGGGAAAATAAGAGAAGTTTCTGAGCCATCTGGCAAAGCATTTTTAAAAGCCTTTCTAAGAGTCAGAGGGCTGCAGAGCAGGGCCCCATGGCGCGTCCTGAGACCCAGGCCGGCGGGGCCAGGGATGCTGGTTTGGGCTGGCCATGCTGCAGCCGCGGGAGAGCAGGCGTCCCCACGCCATCCCTCCCATCGGCCGCAGAGGACGGCCAGGCTCCTCGCTGGAGTAAGTCCGTGTTTCCCCTGTGCAGGACGAACCGATCGCTCTAGACAAGCAGCACTCCAGAGACTCCACAGCCATCACCCACTCCTCCTATTCACTGCCAGCTTCATCTTACTCCCAAGACCCGGTCTACATCAATGGAAGCCTGAACTACAGCTACCGTGGCTACGGGTCCCTGGGGGGCAGCCTGCAGCCACCCGCCTCCCTCCAGACGGGCAACCACAGTAACGGTAAGCGGCCGCACGCTGCACTGGGGCCCACGGCGGCACGGGGAGCCCGCCTGGCCATTGCCTCCGCCCCGTGCCCAGGCAGTGTGCTGCGGGCTCCCTGGCATCCTGCGCCGTGCAGAGCTGCTCCCAAAGCCCCTCTTCTCCTGCAGCCGACCAAGGCCTCTTCCCGGCTGCTCAGCTCGCCTCATCAGCGGGCGGTTAATTGTTGAACTGAACTTGGAAGGACGATCTAGGTGGCAGGTGGAGGGAAGGAGTGTCACTTAAAAAAAAAGAGAATCTCTACCAGCTATTAATCATTAACAGGAGCGGGTGCCTATCGCTGCCCCGATCTCGTTGCTGGTATGAGCTGTTCCTTTCCCGGCCTGCGTCAGCTGCGCTCGGAGACAGGAGCAGGGATGGGGACCCGGCTGGTGAAGTCAGGGGCTCCGCAGCAGCACCCGGGGCAGAGCCAGCTCCTGCCGCAGGTCGGGAGGGTGGCGAGGGGCTGGGGGCCGCGTGGGAAAAGCGGCCGGGGGAACAGGCTGCAGGGCGGGAAGGCCGAAGGAGAGCGCAGGCAAGGCTTGAGGGATCCGCTGAGTTAGGAGCAAGCAAACAGAGCGGAGTAGCCCGGGGCTGAGAAGGGCACCTGGGGCAGTGCTGTGGTACCTGGTGACTCCCTGGCAGCCAGGCGAAAGAGCTGTGGGATGGGGCAAAGGCTCTCCCCCTGGGCAGCAGCCCTCTGGCTTTGCCCTCCCGGCAGCGGTGGCAGGAGGGCTGGAGCCCACGCCGGTCCTCAGCCGGTCCTTCGGCAATCTCCGGGATGCCTTCGCTTGCCCCGGTGCGCTCTGGGCTCCTGCCCTGCCCCTGCCGGCCCCGATGGAGGGAGGATTTGGAAGGATGTGATTTCCGGAGCCCTGAGAGATGCCTGTCTGGGATTAACTCTTATCATCCCTTCCTAATGCTTCTTAACCCTGAATAAAGATCCCGCCCCGGCCTCCAGCTGCTGAGACCTAATCCTTGCAGCCACAGCGGAGGCAGCTATGGTTCCTCCCCAGGGCAGCACAGGCACCCCAGCCCCCCGCGCTGCCCGGCACCCTCCTCTCGCCCGGCCCCGCCGCGAGCGCCGGCTCCTTGACACGAGGCAGCGACCCTGCAGAACCGCCTCAGCAGCCCCAGGGAGCACAGGAGGAGCAGACAGGCCCTGCGTGTTAGCATGCAGCAGCAGCAACTCTCTTCTTTCTAATGGGTTTTAAACCTCTGCTTCGCAATTATTTTCTTCCCCTTTGCCCAAGCTCTTTGCCAGTCCTTTAGAGGTAGGAGCGCCCTGCCGTAGCGCTGGCAGGGAGCACTGCAAGGAGCTGCGCCTTCTCCCTCCCTGAGCAGAAAGTCTGCAGGGCTTTGCTGCCCAGAAGTGTCTTCCCCCTCCATCCCCCACCTAAGGCGATTCTTGCTCAAACCCACATCCCCGCTCCCAGCTCCTTCTCCCTTGGTGAGCCGGGAAATGGGCTCCGTTTACTGCTGCCTCTTCTGTCTAGTGAAATTGCTTTCACGTGAGAGCCTCCTCCTCCTCCTCCCCTTCCCAGCGCTGATTAGCCTGGCGTGGAAGCCCTCCGCTGGTGCCACTCCTCCCGCAGCATTTGCTGCTTCAGCATTGCTTTCCTCGGAAGCTTTCCTTCCCACGCCAGGGCGATGCGCTCCCCTCCCTCGCCGGTCACCAGCAGCACCCACTTGGTCTCAGGGGCTGCTGAGCTCTCCCGTCCTGGCTTGGCAGCCGCTGCAACACCCAGTCCCTGCTCCATCTTCCTGCGTGCCCCACCGCTGCGTCAGGCCACCCAGCAGGAGCTCAGCCCTCCGGAAGCCTTTCTCCAGCATCACCAACTGCTCCATCAGCCTGCAATGCTCCAGCCCACAGCCAGGGGATTAATGAGTTCAGTGGCTTCTCTTTCTCCTTACCCGCAGGCTGCGGCCTCGCCTGCCTCCTCCTCCTCATAACTGGTGTCACATCCCTAGTACGCATCTTTCCTCTTCTCTCCATTTCTAGTTGGTTGGCTGGTTCTTGCACCTTGTTTGGCTTCTCTTACTTAGTCCAACGCGAAGCTAAATCCAGTTTTTCCCCTGGCTGTGTCACTCCTTGAGCTGGGTATCAGCTTTCCTGCCAAGCCTTCCACGTGCGGGCACCCACACTGGCTGCACACGCGTGTGCGCGGTTGTGCACACATCTGCAGACAGCCAGAGCGGCGGCTGACCGTGTTCCCTGGGTCTTGGAGAACTCGATACTTTTGTGCCTTTTTGCAGGTTTAAGATCTGTAGCGACACGGGGGTGTTGGTGAGCTGGGGCAGCCGTGTGTCCTGTTCAGAGGACAGACACACATACGTGGCCAGAAGCCCATCACAGGCGATAGGGGTGGAGCAGAGACCGGCTTAGGAGAAAAAAACTCTCTCTGCCCATCAGGCAGACCATAAATTTTGCAGGACGTCATTTCATTTACAGACAAAGCCACAGAAACGTGCAGCCTAGTAAGACTTTACCCCCCAAAACGTTCGGCCGAAGGCTGAGCACGTCGCCGCGTCGCTGGCTGGGGCGGCGTGCGAGAGGTCGGGCCAGGCAGGTCTCCTCCTCGCCGCGCAGCACAGCCCGGCCCCGCAGCGCCGGGCCGGGCGCAGGCACCACGTAGTTACCGGCACTAAAGCAGGGAAATGCCCCGCGCAGGGCGTCACTCGCCGCACGCCGAGGGAAAGCCAGAACCCGGAGGATGATTCCCACGGGCAGGCACCCTCGGGCGCAGGTTTAGCTCCCGGCAGAGCGCGGCCCCAGACCCTCCCTTCGCAGGGCGGATGGGACAGCTGCAGGACGGGCTTTTTTGTCACGTTGACGCTGAAGTCTCTTTCCTCGTTGTGGCTGTTGTAGAGGCAGCGACTTGCCTGCGCTGGCTGCTGCGGGAGCTGGGGCTGTTGGGGTTGTGCAGGGACCTTCCTGCTGGCACCGAGGTGCAGGAGCAGCAGCTCCCGCTGGGGATCTCGTGGTGGCAGGATGGACGCGGGCAAGGCTGCTCTGCCTGAGCTTCCCTCTCGCTTTCCCTTGGCAGGTCCGACCGATCTCAGCATGAAAGGTGGGGCCTCCAGCACGGCCCCCTCCAACAGCACCAGCAGGGGAATGCAGGCTGCCCAGCCCCGCCCCACGGAGATCAGCGCAGTGCGACCGAGAGTCGGCGGCGTTTCTGCTTCGATCTGCAGACGAACTGGAAAACCTCATTTTACAGCAGAACTGACTCCCTGCGTCTGCACCGCTCCTCTGTCGAGAAGACAATTTATACCTGCTAGAAAGAGGCTCCCAGCAGTGTCCTGCTCAGGACCACCATCGTCCTCCCATGAAGCGGCGGGTACATGTAGTTTTAGAAGGTGGAATCCAAAAGACCTGTTTTCTTTTACACTCCAAGCACCTGGGACTTGAGGCACAAGGACACGTTTTCGAACCGTACCGACACCCGTGCGTCCAGCCGACCAGAAGCCAAACCTGCGGCTTGGAAGGATGTGGGACTTTCAAGGGCAGAAGGGAGCCTGGGGAGGTTTGGGGCTGCAGATGTATTTAGGATAACCTTTGTGGACCCAAATGTTAGATTCCCGTCCCCAGATAATTTCCAAGTCTTAGGTGAGCTGAATCACATATTTATTGAGAAATGGACCCTCCTCTCCCCTTAGTAATTTATTTTTCTGAAAATGGATTCTTTTGAGTTTGTACAGATTGCCAGTTTTTTGTCTGTCTGATCAGAAGGAATTTATTCCTGTGAAATAACACATTCCATATCACTACACTACTAATTTCCAGGCAGCTCTGCCTGTTTCTCTGGGGAGCCCTTGTCCCACCGGGAGCAAGTTTGCCATCCAGCCCTAGCCGCCGAGGCTGCTCGGCCTCCCTGAGCGTGGGTGGCAGCTGACCAACGGAGCGAGCGGGCCTCCTGCTTAGACCTTGGTTCTGAGCGGTCCCGTAGCAGCAGTGGAGCCTAAACCTCCCGAGAGACTCGGCGAGCTCAGCAGACCTCCGGCCAGAAGGACCTCTCGCACGCATTTCAGTCATTGCAGATGAGAGAAGGAAGGAAGGAAATACCTGAGAAACACTGTCTTGCGGTCACCATCCGTACTCTACCTCACACTCCATTGTGGGCTTCTTCCAGCACTGGCCGAGCTGGTCCTGGGGGACGGCGAGCGTCGCAGACGCGTGGATTGCGCCGAGGAGGCTGGAACCAAGCCGGCAGATCCAGCGGATCCGCCGGGGTCCTGCTGCTGGGCGGCAGCTCGCCCCCGCCCGCTGCGCCCGGCCGTTTGCTCCGGTCCCTGTGAAACCAGCCCTGGGGTGGCACCGGGAGGATGAGCCCAGGACCCGCGTGGGCGTAAGGAAGGCCCACGCCGGGTCTCTGCCCGGAAAGCGAGGTCAGCGCGGCGAGCCGCTCGCTCCTCTGCAGGAGGCAGAGACGGGCACCATTCAGCAGCAGAACCGACAAAGTCCTCTCTGGGGCCCAGGGTCCTCCCCCCTCCCTGCTCACAGTCCTGGAACAAGCCCACAATTCCCAAAGTGTGGAAAAACCGTAGTCTGACGACCGTTCTGCCCTGTTACCGCCCCCCACCCCCAATAATGCACTTCGTTTTGCTCAGTGCAATACCTACTACCAGTGCTGCTAAACCCAGGGACTGCGCTCAGGCACGGAGGTGCTGAGCCGAGCCAAGCAATGCAACGGGCTCCGGAGCCCCGCAGAGCCGCAGCGCCCGGCTGCCGGGGAGCCCAGCTCCTCCTCGCACCCCCGTGCCGGCGCAGCTCCCCCGCCCGGGCAGGAGTCCTCACCACGAGAGGATAGGAAGTCGCTAAAAGTGTAAACCCGTATATGCTTGTTTTAAAGGTAGATACTTTCTCTCTTTGACGCCAGCTGCTTCTTGTTCGGCCGCTCTGAGCCCGCGGATGGGGGCTGCTGCTCCCCGGGGGCTGACGCCGCTGGCGCGGGCTCGATGGCGGCGGCGGCGGCTGGGCCCAGCCGGGAGCAGAGCCGGGCAGTTTGCGCAGTAGCCTTCATACCCAGGGATGCTCCCCACACACTGGAAGAGACGCAAAGCCTCCGCCCTGCTCGTAGTCTCAGTGCAGAAAAAGCCGCTGGCTCCTGGGGCCGGGCTTGCCTGCCCAGCAGCAGAAGGGATTAACCGTTGCATTGACTGTTTTCCCTGAACCGTAAACTTTCTGTAGCATCTGGAGAAAAGGGAGCTAACCCCTGGCCGTCGGGCGTAGTCAGGGTGTCCGTGCGGAGATGAGGTGGTGGCTTGTTAGACCCGAGCCGACCCGGCAGCGCCGCGGCCGTCCCGAGGCGCCTGGGCTCAGCGCCGCGTCCCGCCCTGCCCGCAGCAGGCGGGGGAGCGGGGCTCCGGCCCCCCGAGCCAGGGCTCAGCCCCACGCTTTCCCCAGCGCTTCACAAGCCTGCTTGGTTTGCCCACTGCATCCTCCCATACTTGGAATTTATGTAAATATTTATTTTTGTGTGAATACCATGAAGTAACAAACCTTTGACAAAATATGTAACCGCAGCCATTTGTGAAAGTCTTAACGTTAAGGAAGGCGAGGCAGAGACAATCGCTGTCCCGGAGTTCTCGCTGCGCCATCCCACCCGCGTCGGTGCCCCCTCCCCGCCGGAGGCCATCGGGAACACGTAGCCATACGTTTGCCATCCAGGTTACTGAGCAGGGGGTTACCCAGGGGCTTACGGACAGGTCACCATCAGCTACAGTTTGTTTAAAGTCTTACTGATCCAAGTTTTCGCTGTCGTTACCAGATCACCTTTGAACGCCTCTTAGCACGCCTCGAAGTTTCGCAGCTCTCACGCCTTGTTCAACTGCTGTAGGAGGCAGCTGGGGCGCGCGGTTGCGTAGGGAGGTACCGCTCTGCCCCGTCCGAACGACCGATGGCCGCAACCTGCAGCCGAATGGTACGGATGCAGATTTCCAAAGCCCCGGTGACAGCCACATCTGTGACAAGTTGTGAAACAAATGGGATTGACTACAAATTTCTGTCAGGGATCTTTTTCTTTTCTTTTTTTCCTCTTTTTTTTTTTTTTCCGGTGAGCCGCAGCTTTATAGTTTCTTGGGAGCGAGCTCCGCAGCCATCTCAGTGCTCTTCAGCCGATCCGCGCTCAGTCGCGGCTCTTCCGTGCTCCAGGACTGTTTCTCAGCCGCGCTCTCGCAGGCAGGCCGGGGCCAGGCATCGCTCGGCCGGGTCCTCACCGGGAAGGAATGAGCAGGAGCAGAATACAGCGGCTCTCCAGATGTCTGAGAGGTGGAAGGAGAATGCTGGGTTAGCAAATGGTCTGGATGTTCTTGGTTTTGTTTAAGAAAAGCTAATCACTGGTCGAGAAAATAGATTTATTTTATTTTATTTTATTTTATTTTATTTTATTTTATTTTATTTTATTTTATTTTATTTTATTTTATTTTATGTTGAACACAACCATCCTGCCCTGGATGTGCGGTTCCCATGGCGGTGTCTCTACATGGGAGAGCGGTCCCGGGCTCGCGAGCAGACGTAACCTGTACCTCCCCGATCCAAAGGGCCGCCTCCCTCCCGCGAGCGGCCGCCGGATTTCGTACCAGTTCATGAAAAAAAATGCTGCTTTGAACTCAGAGGGTTAATATACTTTTGATTTGTAATTTTTTGTAAAACTTTTTACAAGGTAGCATAGTATTTCACCAGAATACCAACTACAATCCGTCCATGGTCTGATTTTTATATAATTTAGTGGTGCTTTAGAAACTTTTGTTTGGTTGTTTCGGAGCTGTACAGCTCAGTTCTTCGCCTGTATCTACCTAAGACCAATGTGAACCTTTGTATTTTTGCTCCTAATTTTGGACTCAGTGAAAGTGTACTGTTTACATGTACAGAACTCCCGGCCCCCGTGTGTCCCGCCAGACCTGCTGTTGAAGAGGAAGATGCACCTCCCCAGTTCGTCTGCTTACCAAGCCACAGCCTCACTCACCACTGACGCACGCCCCTACCCTAAGGAAGACCCCCCGAAACCGAAACGCCCCGTAAGCGATTTTGGGTTTTGCACAAGCTGTTGTATTTCTTTTCCAGTAGCCGATGGCCGCGGTTCGACTCGAGCGCTGGTCCGGAGCTCAGTTAAGCGGAGCACCCGGACGCGGGCAGGCAGAGTCGCCCCGCGCCGCGGTTTCACCGTCCTCCCCCGGCGTCCGAGGCGGGAGGGCGAAAGCTGCCGGGCTCAGGGTAGGGTTCAGACGACGCGGACGAGTGCTCGAGTCACGGGGGCTTGCGAGGACGCAGGGAGGAAACGCTCAGCAGCGGAACTGGAAACAGGCTTTGCCGAACCCGGTGAAATCGCCCGAGCCGGCCGCTGGTGGCAGATGGGGAGGGTGGGAGCGCGTTCCCTCGGAGGTGGGGGCTCCGAAGCGAAGCAGAAGATCGCTCTTCGGAAAGGCAGTGCTTTCCTGAGGGCTCGGATAGAAAGCATATGGCACTTAATCCAGCGTTTAAGGTGACACTTTATTGCTTAATCAATTGATTCATTTTGAAATGATATTTTTGCAGATAGGCACCTATGCAACTTAATGTGGCTCTTAAGCAGATGAGCACTTCCTCCTCAACGAGCTTGATAAGAGTTATTTGTGTTATATACTGTGGATTTTTCCAGTAAATGTGGCTTAATATTTTAATTCTTAGAATGTGTGTCTATTATATATGTGATGCAACTTAATTCTGTTCTGTTTGTGGAATGATTAGCACAGGCCAACTCCCTCTTCCCCTCACTTAACAAAGACCAATGAGCTGTTAATCAAGCTGTTATCTCCATGGTATTACTTGCTAAATGCACTGATTTCATACGTATGTGGAATCCTTTTTTTTTTCTTTTGAATCTGTATATCATATATAAGACTGAATCTACTTAATAAACACTGTTTAAAGAAAAGGGCTTTCTCCTCCGCTGTCGAGCGCCGCTGGCACCGGCGCCCTCCCGCCGCCGCCCCTC